TCTTTTTTTTTTTTTATTTATATATAGTGTTAGATTAGATTTATTCTATACAACCTAAATAATTTTTAAAGCCTGGTACAGACAAAAATAGTGCTGTCATGATCATCTTCTTTGTGGCCTTCTTTTCCTTTTCTCTTTTTCTTATTTTATTTTCATTTAATTTAATATTTCTCCTCTTTTTATATTCCTTTTATTTTGTAAATTCTTTATTGTTTGTTGGTAGAATTCTTCTACTTAGGAGGCAAGGAGAAAAAGGTTGAGAAAGAAGATGATCATGATAGGCTGGTAATCCATGTCAGTGATTCAGGTAGTTTGCTCTGAGGTAGACTGAACTTAATCAGTGAGACTAAAATTATCTTTGGCAGGTCACATATAGATGCTCTTATAGTAATCATGTGAGCCACATTCTTATAGTTGTAGATATTTCTATGATGTAAAAATTTTTCTTGTCTTTGGACCAAATTTAACATCAATAAAGCAAAATGCCATTTTCAAAATAAGATACTTCAAAGGTTTTTGACATAAAAAGAAAAAAATATAGATAGTATATAAATAAAAAAAAACCAAAATTTTTATTATAATAAAGAATATTGGTTATATTGTAAGATTTAAATCATTACCCTAAAAATTTTCACTTGACTGGTAGTGTTTAGAGCGCATCATATGGTGATCATATTATGGCATGTAAATGCATCAAAAAAGTAACTATGATACATCAAAAACGTAACTTTTATATCACTTTGCATAGAAACAAAGGGTCCATCGCTACGCTCTGGACAATTATACATACACAGGTATAATTTATTGAATTACGTACAAATTTATGTAACATGTCAATCAATCAATTTTTATAAATGAAAAATTAAACCCTTGCTTATGGTTAGGGTAAGAGTGGGTTTGGGATTGGGGCGAGGGTTAGTTTATATCAAAACTTCTCAAGGAGATTTTTTTTTTTTTGTTAGAAGCCAAAAGGTGGGTTCATAGTCAAAATTTTGGGATATCAGTTTGTTTTTACATTACTCATGTATATACACCCCGTATACAAATAGAAATTCTCATAAAAATATACATAAGATTTTAAAAATTAAAATTTACATTCCTGGTTTAGCGCAACTACCTTATGGTATATTCTCGGTTCCTTACTAGGTTTTTTTTTCAATTTTTAACAGCTACCTACCTTGTTTAATGCATCAAAAGTACATAAGGAGAGCTTATTCCTGCGTTTCGAATACAAAGTAAATTTTCAATTATATTACATAATTGGGAACTTTACTTTGTATTTGCAATGCAGGAAGATGCTCTCCTTATGCAAACTTGGGTTATGCTTGACGCGCATTTTCGATGTACTAAACAAAGTAGAGCAGCTGGTGAAAATCGAAAAAGACCTCTGCTACTAATTACACAAATTATTAATAAGGTAGCTGCACAACGTAGTTACTCTAAAACCAGAACCAATAAGGAAATTTAAATCATAACTGATGCTGTATTACTGAATTATAGCATTGTGGCATATGCTATAATTAATAATGAATTAAATTTGAATGCTGTAAAAACAATAAACATTCTGTGTTGCCGTGAATGTCTATTAACCCTACTTTCTATTTAAATTGTTAACTTCTTAAATAACTATAAAAATGTTAAATATACATTAATATTCATTTTCAATCTTTATTGAGCCTTCTCAATCTATCAATGAACACAATTCTTCATTGTATCCTTATAATCCTTTATCATTTCTTACCAATTTTTCATTACATTATTTCAGCAATACGGCATTACGACATCACAGCATTATAACAGAATTACTGTTTATGGTTTTTACAGAAAATTGTATGCATATATGTAGTGCACACAAAAAAAAATTCTGGAATAAATGTGCATATCATATCATCAAGAAATTCCGACAAATGTATAGAGGGAAAAAAAGAATTATGGAATAAATTTGTATTTCACCAAGAAATTCCGACAAATATATAGAAGGAAAGATCGATGATCATACTAACTAAATAAGGAATAGCATTACATACAGTATTTTTGTTAATTATTCAAATGGCACGTACGTACGCAAGTGGCTGTTTACAGAATCTCATTACAGTATAAAGTAAATGATGTTTTCAAAACCTGATTAATCGTGAATGCGCATATATGAATTTTGACAAATTTATTATAAATGATACCGATACGTTGTTACCATCTAGGTTGGGAGAGCGACGGGCGTATATGCACAATTTAGCCCTAATGGTTAACAGGTGAAAATATATATAAAAAGCATGTGGATATTATTAACGAAGGGCTTTGAGACACCTCGTAGTCCTCCCTCTTTATTAAGGTCTAAAGCGCATCCTTGAATACATAATTATTTACACATAACAACGGTATATAACTATAACTTTGTTGCATTCCGTTCTTCGTATAAATTATACAAAAATAAATATTTACTTTTTTATAACCTTTCTAATTTACACAAAGCAACATTACATAAGTGTAAAATACGGCCTGTATCACCTATTAGTGAATATTCAAATATTTAAAATTGCCTTTTATATAAAAAAAAAGAAAATTACATTTATTACGTACAAAATAATGATGTAGTACACTATGTATGACATTAAAATTTTAATAACAATTTTTACTATTATGTGCAAACTGAAACGTTTGATTTTTACGTTACGTAATTGATAATACTGTTGCATCTAAAGTAGCCACCCTATCTAAAGTAGCCCTGGGCTAGAATTACGATTTAGTGCATGCATGAAGATCTAATTTCAGGGGCCTAATTTTAGTCAGGCGCTACTTTATATATCTAAAGTAGCTACTTTAGATAAATCGCTACTTTAGATGCAACAATACTACGGAACTATTATTCCGCAAAATAATCCTTTTATATACGGAATTTTTTCTCCGAATAATTATATAAAATATGTTGTATTAAAAAATCATGAATTCCTAACTATTTAATTCTACCAAACGTCAGAAGTATAAAAATATTCAAATCATATCAGCAATAACCTTACCCATCGATAGAAGAAAAACATGTCAATAATTCACCAAAATGAGCAAATTGAAAACTCTATTCATGAATCCATCAGTCGTGTTGATTTTAACCAATTTTCAATCATAAATGAAATCGGAAGAGGAAGTTTCGGAATTACAGTAAAAGCTGAGTGGAAAGGCCATGATTTTAAGGTCGCACTTAAAAGCCTAAAGAGTAACGAAAATTTAGATAAAAATGCTATTAAGATGTTCATTAGAGAGGTATATAAACTTTATTTTCGAATTCTTTATCGTGCAAATTTCAAAATTCATACGTACTAAATTCCTGTACAGCTTGAAGTATTACAAGATGCTAGTTCTCACACCAACATAGTTAATTTTTATGGAATAACTCTTGGTTAGTAGTAGTCGCATTGAGAAAGTCTTCACTCATATATTATTAAGATTACTAACATTTTGCACGTATTAATTCTAATATTTCTAAATATAGATCCTTCTGAGGGGCGTCACAAAATCATTTTACAATTCGCAAACAATGGGAATTTACGTGATTATTTAAAAGAAGAATTTTCAAAGCTCAACTGGATCGATAAATTTCGCATGGCTAGTGAAATAACGAGTGGTATCGCGTTCTTGCACACTAAAAGTATTGTACATAGTGATCTCGTAAGTACAGTAAATATTATTATATTTTCTGAAAATTTGCCATTATACTAATTCTGATTACGCTTATATTACATATATTATTAAGCACTCTAAAAACATTCTAGTACATGAAAGAAAAATGCTGATTACAGACTTTGGTCTATTAAAACGGATAAATGAGGCATCTTCATCATATAAAGCCGCAGATTTTTGTGGAATGATAGCATACGTTGATCCTCAATGCTTTAAAAATAATTCATATAAACTAGATATGAAATCCGATATCTATGGTTTAGGTGTTATTTTATGGGAGATTTCAAGTGGGAAAGTGCCATTTGAATCCTTTACAGCAATATTTGCAATTATATCTCATGTAGGTCAAGGAAACAGAGAAACACCTGTAAAGGACACACCAACTCAATATATTGAGCTTTATAAAAAATGTTGGAATGATGACCCCTCCAAACGTCCTGAAGCTAAATCAGTTCTTGAAGTTTTGGAATCTTTATTGAAGCCTAATTTAAATCTTCAAAATCAACCTGAACGACCTCTTCCAGAAAATAATCCAATTTTTCAATTTTTTTTCAAAAATATAAAAAATCGTCGACATAAGAAAGGTAGAGGAGGCGAAATTTCTGTAAATCCAATTTTGATTCCTCAAAATACGGTCGATATGCCACTTTCACCGACTATTGAGAGCACGGTTAAAAATGATGACAACTTTCTATTGACTAAAATAACCAATGTTGAAGAAGATTTCAATTATATTTCCAGATTTTGTTTGACTCCTACCTTGAGCAGTTTAGAAACTCACGAACCAAGTGGCATGGGTATGTTGTGTGTTAATATTTCAGTCTTGGTTTAAAGTTTGATTAAACTAACAACCTATATACTTTCATTAAGATAACATTTATAATGATACTGTAAGTCAATATTTAATTTTCTTTTCCTATAAAACATGACCTTTATAGTATTTCTAATTCGCATCGCTTATATAAGGTATCAAATCTGGATGGAAGTGATTATATATGGAGGCGACGTGCAATCATCAATATGCTAATGGGAAATTATAAAAATGCTTTCGAAGAAATAAATAAAGCATTATTAAAAAATCCAAATGATCCAATTTCTCTTGGTATTCGAGGAAGAATAAACACACTTACTCGTAAATATACGGAAGCACTTACAGACTTAAACAATGCATTGAGTTTTAGTCCAAATGATGCAACTAATTTAGAATATCGTGGAATAGCCTATTGTAATATTGGCAAATACGATGAATCTCTTCAAGATTTGAATAAATCATTAGAAATTAGGCCAAATGATGCGATAACTTTAAGAAGTCGCGGAATAACTTATAACGCAATGAAAAAATATGATGAAGCGCTTGCTGATCTTAATAAGGCAATAAGTGTGAATCAAAATGATGCATTATCATTGGACGCTCGTAGCTTAACTTACAAATCTATGGGCAATCATGATGATGCAATTTCCGATATGAAAAGAGCATTAGAAATTAATCCAAACGATTCGATTTTATGGAATAATTATGGATTAATCTATTTCGATTTAAAAAAACATGAAGAATCACTTATATATTATAATAAATCTATTGAAATTAATCCAAATAACGCAACCGTATTAAGTAATCGGGGAATAGCATATACTAATTTGAAAAGATATGAAGAAGCGTTTTCGGATTTTCGTAAATCATTGGAAGTTGATCCAAATAGTCCAATTACTTTGAGTAATTATGGAACAGCTTTATTCAATAGTCAAAATTATGCAGATGCTCTTTTGATTTTGAGCAAATCATTGAAAGAGAAACCTGATGATGTGATCACGCTAGAAACCCATGGAATTGCTTGTCAATACATGGGTAGATACGAAGAAGCACTCGCAGACTTTAATAAAGCATTACAACTTAAGCCAGATGATTCTATTATAATGATGCATATTGGAACAACATATTCCTCTATAGGAAGACATGTCGAAGCATTTTCTTTTTTTAAAAAATCGTTGGAACTTGATCCAAATAATGCAGCAATATTGGAATCACGTGCAAGAGCCTATCGTACTTCGCAAAAATTTGAAGAAGCACTTGTAGATCTTAACAAAGTCTTAGAAATTAATCCAGACGATGCTGTTGCGTTGGGGCAACGTGGATTGTTATACTCAGATATGGGAAGATTTGATGAATCACTTTCGGATTTTACAAAAGCATTAAATATTAAACCAGATGATTCAATTATATTAAATAATCGTGGGTTAACTTATCGCAATATGAAAAGTTATGATAAATCGCTTGAAGATTTCAACAAATCATTGGAAATTAACCCAAGTCTTGCTGTTGCTTTTAGTAACCGTGGTCTAGTTTATTATGAATTAAGAAAAGATAAAGAAGCTCTTGAAGATTTTAATAAATCATTGGCAATTAGGCCAAATGATGTTCTTACACTGGGAGATCGTGCATTAGTTTATCGTGCTTTAGGTAGACATAATGATGCACTTAAAGACCTAAACTTAGCAATTCGTATCAAGCCAAATGATGCGACTTCATTGAGTAGTCGTGGGTTGGTGTATTCTGACATGAGGAAATATACTGAAGCTCTTTCAGACTTTGAGGATTCGCTAAATATTGAACCAAATAATGTAGCAGCACTTGAAGGTCGCGGACAGGCATATAGTGCTTTGGGCAAATATAATGAAGCATTTACAGATATAAACAAAGCAATAGAAACCAGACCTAACGATCCAGTTTCTTATAATCATCGCGGACTAATTTATTATTATAAAGGAGAGTATGAAAAGGCGATTTTAGATTATAATAAAGCGTTAGAAATAGACCAAAGAAATGCAACTGCGTTAAGCAATCGCGGATTGGCTTATACCAGTATGAAAAAATTTGATGAGGCGCTTAAAGATTTTAATGAATCATTAAGCATCTTACCAAATTTCGCTATTGCGTTGAGAAATCGTGCAAATCTTCATTATACAATGTATAATTATGATGAAGCAATCAAAGATTTAGATAACGCATTAAAACTTAATCCAAATGATATTGTTTCATTAGAAACTCGCGGAACAGTCTATGCTCTTATGTATAAATACGAAGAAGCGAAGGCTGATTTTGAAAATGCTGAGAAATTAAGTGGTGATGCCAGCTTATTCTATCAGTTGACTCTCAGATATTAGTCTATTATGTTTAGATAGACGTTGGGATGATTATAGCGGATTTACGACAAATACGGGCGTGATTATTGCGAGAGCCGATTTTAGCTTAAATATTAATTATATTTATAGGGCAATAGTGTTTGTATAATACCTTCTATTTTCGCTATTCATACCCCACCCATGTAAAAATTATTTAACTAGTTGTCACGTAATATAACGTGCAAATAATTATAGTCCTTAACAAGTCATGCGCCTGTCTATTCGCTAGGAGTTTTTTTTTTTTTTTGGACAAGTCAGGGTTTTTACACTTAGACATTATAGCTGTTTTTGTATATTTTGGACATCTAATAAAAAGATTAAACGAACAAATATTTGTCAATTCGATAAATTGTGGTTTCTGTCATGATCAATATATAATTTATATTACTTTGATATTATATTATTTTTTGATGATAGTTATACAGTATATCACTATTTTATCAAATCTCATTCTTGGTAAAAAAAAAAAAAAAAAATAGAAGCTTAACAGCTTGAATAATTGTTAACAATTAGGTGTTAGCAGGTCTTCTGCGTGTCGAATTCTTAAACAATTTCAAAGATATGTGTGTGTTGAAAACTTTCAGCACTTTTAGAAATAACCAAATTTATTAAACCCTATAAGAAAAGTTGTTCGGAATCGCACGGAAAAACAGTGTATAGGCACGTGGTCGAGTGGCACGGGCTATACATACGGTCTACGGGCGCAAAAGTATCGTTTTTGATAGATCTGCGGTTGCTTTTTTTCGTTCTTGATGCATACTTCCATAAAATTCGAAATTTTTCATGAATTTGAGCAAAGATATCTCGATGCCCGCCCAATTAAATTCAATAAATTTTTTATTATTTTGATTCTACATATCTGTAAATTCAAAAATATAAAGAATACATCGAATTTTGGTTAGGTGGTTGCTGAGATCTCTTCGCTCAAAGTTTTGAAAACATTAAAATAACAGCCACGGCAAAACTTTCATAAAACTTTGAATCTATCCAAATTCGTTGATTTTTTTTTTCTTATTTTTATTCCACAGATATATAGAATTAATATTTAAAAAAATTTATTGAATTTGGATGGGTTATTGTAAAATGGCTTTGCAAGTATATAAAACTCACTAATTCAAGTTATATAAGTTTTTATAGAATGTTTAAATCAAAACCTTAATCAAAAAAAGGTGGTGTTTGTGTAGTATAAACAAAATTTTATTTATATTTCTTTATATTTTAACTAAACTGCGATATTTTTAGAATCATTTAGTCAATTTTTTTATTTTATTTTTTACATATTCTTGACACTTTACTAAAGAACAGTTGATTGCCTTAGTCAAAATGCTTCTAGTTTAGATTTCCAATAATTTGATTTGGCATTAACAAGCCGTCATTGTGAAGGCATCATTGTGAAGTGGTTTGGGTCAAAATCCTGACAATCAACAAAATTACAGCTAATACTATTCTAATAAGGGCTAACTTGACAGGATTTTGACTTTGTTAGGGGTTTGATCTGCTTCCAAGATGTTGTTGTAAAGGCATTGTTGTGAAGGTGTCATTGTATATTTTTAGACCCATAATGAAAAAAAATAGATATTTTCAATAAGCTAATTTTAGTAGCTTTCAACAAGGCATTGTTCTAAAAAAAAAAATTTAGATCATAGTATAATATCAGTTATGTAATTGTTAAAAATGAATGTTGTTTTATTAGCCACATTTTGTGTTGTTCTTATAATATCTATACATACTAGAAAATACTTAACTTTGAAAGAGACATTTGAGTTTTATCCTTTGTTGAGGTTTTATTCATCAAAATTTGTATTTTATTACTTCTTTTTCTTCTAAATCCTATTATATCAGAATGTTTTCATTAATCTATATTATTGATTAAATAAATCAAATATAAATTTTTAAACACTGATTTAAAATATAAAGTAAGCTTTGTGCTAATAAAAGACTTTGTCTAAATCAAAATAAATTAAAGTGAAATTTTTAATCCTCCAAAATATTTTTTTAAACCGAATTGAAAAAAAATAAAACTCAAACCACCTTTTCACCAAGCTATTTACTGCTATTAATTTTTCAACTAGCATAGTTAATAAAAATAAAATTATAGATGAATACTTAGATAAAACTTCATCTGACCATAAAGAAATTTATAGTCAAAAATCTGATAATATCATTGAATATGTAGCATATAATGAGAATTTCATATTCAATTAGGATTCATATAAAGAATCTCTTAAGGATAATAAATTTATTAATGATAATGAATTTCTTGATGATGAAGGTGAAGAATCTTCTAATCATGATGAGATAAAAATTCTTGAAGAATTTGAAATGCAAACTTCTTTTACTACTAGTAATACTACAGAATTAACATGTTGTATTGTTATTGATTATGTGATGATTTGTATATAATACAAAGATGCAACCAACAAGCAGACTATAGCATAAAACAACTATGTAGTACATGGGAGGTTGATTCTTTAGCTGTGAAAAAAGTCAAAAACAAATTTTCACAGTTAAAGGTTTGTTACCATCATTTTAGCTATGACAAAAATTCTGTACACAAAATTAACTCAGAAAGGTTTATAAAAGTAGTAAGAACAATTAAAGAAAGTGAATTATCTTACACTGCTGTTTATTCTGCAAAAAATTTAAATATTTCATTACAAGAGGTAAAATATGTATATTATATATGTAAAAAGTATGCGAATGCACAATTCAAACACCATGCTATGAATTGTTTGACTGTTCAGCAATTTCTAAATATAAAGATCTATTGATTAGATTACTTACTAATGAGAACCCTCATTTTATCTGTGCAAACTGCCTTGTAACTCATCTTCATACTCCACTAAA